GCGGAATCATTCTGGACTCGGCCCGGAAGTTGGGGCAGGCTACCGGGTGGGGAGGGAGGGCAGGATCCCGCGCGGGCTCGGGCTTTGACTAGTTACCCCAAGTCCCCGCGCGTTGCAAGCCTGCAGCCCACTTTGGGTCCTTTTTTAGGATGCTCTCAGTTGCCACCGCCGGTTGCTACCTAATGCAGAGCTTCTGAGGGTCCTCGTGGGGAGACCTCAGTTTTCTGGAGTTCTTAGAATTGAAAATCCAGGGTTGGAATTCATTCATTCCACACAACTTTTTTTTTTTTTGTTTTTTTTTTTTTTTTTTTTTTGCTGTTGTCTTGTTTTTTGAATATGGAACGCTTCAAGAATTTGAGTGTCATCCTTGCGCGAGGGCCATGCTAATCTTCTCTGTATCCTTCCTATTTTAGTATATGTGCTGCCAAAGAGAGCACATGTCCACGCATGTTAATGGAGAGCCTACTGCATGCCCGGCACCCTAGTCTAGGCAGGGAGCAGTAAATGAGAGACACAAATTCCAACGCACATGGAGACAGTGACCAGCCAATGACTGCCATGTTTTTAGTGAGGCTCTTCTGGTTGTGGAAGTGTAAGCAGGTTGGGTAGCAGGTGGGAGAAAGAGAACCAGGCATGGCTTTCTTGACATGAGAGAAGCCCTTTCAGGCCTAAGTCATTTTGTAATCTAAGCCTGGCCACAATGCTTGCCCTTGAACAGGTCTCAGTAACAACGATCTTAAGGGAACGAAAGAACAAACTGTTATTGGGCTAGAGAAGTAACAATACCAAAGATAATAAATCAGTTGTAAAGACTCCCAGTTCTGTTTCAGTGGTAAAGATTAGCCGGAAGCACTTTCTTGAGCTGTTTTGCAGAATCTAAACTTTCTTCACCGGATCTACTGGAACCTAAAGATTCATGATGTCGACCTTTTCTGACCCTCGTGATTTCAATCAACAACTCTGCCCCAATTCTAGGCTGAATTCTCCTCTGCTCAAGCCCCTTTATGAATATGCATATACCACCCAAGCCCCTTCATGAATATGCATATACCACCCAAGCCCCTTCATGAATATGCATATACCACCCAAGCCCCTTCCGCAATTTTGCTGCTTGGATTGACACCGCTTTGGGAGAGCTCCCTGGTGTTCTCCTTACTCTGCAAGTAATACATCCTTCCTTCTCTCAATTTTTGGCTTGGTTGTCTTTTGGCTCCCCACCCACCAGGAGGCGAACCCAGTTTTTGGGTAACAGAAGCATCTGGAAACCTCTTGCTGCTTTTTTGTTTTTCAGAGAGCTCTTAGACTTCACGTTTCTTCCTCCTGGTTCTGCAGTATGTAGCCAGAGGGTCAGCTGGATGAATTTCTCACTCATAGTCCAAGTCAGGCATTTTTAGTTTAACAAAGTCTAGCTTTTTAGGGTGAATGCCATATTATATCAGGGTCCAACTGTAACCGAAAGTGGGGTCTGGCTGCTCGCTGCTCAAAAGCCAATAAAGAGGCAAGGTTGGTGGAAAGGAAAGTTTGCTTTATTTCAGTTGCCGACAGTGAGGGGAGGCGGGTGGCGGGGAGTGAGGCCGGACTCCTGTCCAAAGGCCAACTCCCCACCACTGACAGCCAGTGGGCAAGAGCTTTTATAGACAGAGGGAGGGGGCTACATGCAGAAACAGCACAGTCAGCTCTGACAGTCATCTTGAAATCTGTCGTGCGGTGCTCTGATCAGCATCATCTTGATTGTTTTCAGTACAGTTCATCTTCAGTTCCAGGGTCGGTTTGTTCCCATTTCTTTGAGGCCAATTCTCGGAGTTGTGGCAGCTTATGTCATGGCTACGGTCTGGTCATCATGGAGTTACTTTCTTCCACCTGGTGGGGATTTCAGTACCTACAAGACAGCTCCCAGGATACGGCTCAGAATACTATGTATAGCCCTTGAGGAGGAACTAAAGCTCCTTGACTTTGCTTTCTGACTAAACTATTATTGTTTTGTCCTGTTTGACTGTTTTCCTTTCTTCTGTATTTTCTCACTTCTCTGGTCACGCTTATTCTTTGGCTAAAGTTTTTCTACAGACAAAAGGCAGGTGGAGGACATGGCGGGGAAAGACCATACAGTCCTGCTCCATTTCAGAACCATGCTTGAAAAATCTCCAGTGAGAACATCTACTAGATCATTCATTCTTTTTCCCAAGCCCTGCAGCTTGCTCGACCTTAGTTCTCAGACCCGCCCGGCAGTGAGGGCACCGAGTCCTACCCACTGGACCCCGAGGGCGCTGTTCTCAGCTTGTCACGGGGCCATGGGGGCAATCATTCATTCTTTCCTCAAATAAGTCTTAAGCTCTGACTTAAATCTGTAACGGCTCAAGGCTTAAAGCCACAGACCACAGGCTTAAAGCCGTTGGCAAGTGCTCAGTGTGTACTAAAAGTGCCCATTAAATGCCAGCTATGGGACCGTTGTTATTATGAACAGTTAGAAGGAGAACCTAGGGCTGCTGACCTCTAGAATAGACACCCGTACACTGGTTGCATTTCACACCTTGGATGTGTGTTACAGGCACCCTGTTAGATGCGGGGACCTTGCAGAGGAGGAGCCAGCTGAGGTTGCTGCCCTCAGAGCCCGTACTTTCCTAAACAAGGGCTTGAAGGGGTCCGGAATACACCTCTGTGGCATAAAAATTATTTTGAGCAGAAGCCATTTGAGTTCCTGAGAAGCCTCATCTGCCTAAAGTAGAGCCTTCCAAAAGAACTCAGAGCAATTCAGTTGTCATAAATCCCAGGAAACAATCAGGCAAGACTGACTTTTATCACTGGAGAGGAGAAGCTGGCATCACCTAAACAGGCATTGTCTTAAAACTATCTTATCTCCCATCTACTCTAGGTAAGAGCCTATTTATCTTTCCTAAGTTGTTTGTTGTCCGGTAAGTGCCCTCTCCACCCATCCCCTCCCCTGTTAAGATAATACTATATAAGCCCCACATTCTAACTGCCTCTTGGAGTCACATTTTTCTGTGAATTCCTGTAGGTACATGAATAAAAATACATTATTAAAAATGGTCTTTTTTCTTGTTAATCTGTCTTTTGTCAGTTTAATTCACACTCCCCCAGAGACTGAACCTGAGAGGACAGAGGAAAAGTTTTTCCTCCCTTCCAGGCTCAAAAAGATAAATGGGATACTGTGTTCTAGATGAGGGGCAGTTCTTGGCTTAGGGATCAGAGAGGATCTTTCTGACATCTGAGCATGGAAGGATGAAAAGATCTTTCTTTCAAAAGTTTAAAAAAAAAAGAAGAAAGAAAGAAAGGAAGGAAGGAAGGAAGAAAAGAAAAGAGAAAGACAGACAGAAAGAAAGAAAACAAAAGGATTAAGAAATTGAAATAGGGACTTCCCTGGTGGTCCAGGGGCTAAGACTCTGCGCTCCAAATGCAGGGGGACCCCGGTTCGATCCCTGGTAGGGGAAATAGATCCCACTTGCTGCAACTTAAAGATCCCGCATGCCTCAAGGAAGATCCTGCACGCTGCAACAAAGATCCTAGATGCTGAGTGCCGCAACTAAGACCCGGCGCAGCCAAATACATAAATATTGAGAGAAAAACAAAAGAAAGAAAGAAAGAAATTGAAACAAATTCCACAAATCTAATCTCCCCTTTGGCCAATCCTTAGTGAGGTTACTAATGATAGACACTGCAGGGAGCATAGCGAACGCAAGAGTATTGACTACGATGACGATGCGATGGTGGTCCTGTGGAGAGAAAAATGATCAGCAAGTTCACTGGAAACTTCTCAGACACCAGCCTGGCCCCCAGCTGCCCCCACCATGAGCATCATGGCATTCATCATATCATACAGCAAATGCTGGTTTTGTCTTCCTTCTTCCAGCCTAGACTGTATACAGAGGGCAGCGATGATGACTCACCCAACAAGCGCTTAGTGTTTGTTGACCAATGGCTCTACTGCCCCCTTGAGACAGGTGCACGCACTAGCGGCTACAAGACACGCGGAATCAGGAGAGTAAAAGGAGGGGAGATTGGGAAAGGATGGGCCGAAGAAGTGGGGGCGGTAGAGCTGCGGACTGAGCTGTGAAGAGGGGTGGGGCTGTTCATTCGCTCGTTTGTTCATTCATTCATATTCGTCCATCATTCATTGGCTGAGCGTGCACCGCTGGACACTGAATGAGTAAAACTACACCCTCGAGGTGCGCCCCGCCTGGGTGAGTGGGTAGGGAGGAGCGGGCGGCATGGAAACAATTTCGGGGTTGGGGAGCACACTTGTTAAAAATGCACACTTTGAGGGACTTCCCTGGTGGCGCAGTGGTTAAGAATCCTCCTGCCAAGGCAGGGGACACGGGCTCCAGCTCTGGTCCAGGAAGATCCCACATGCCGCGGAGCAACTAAGCCCGTGCGCCACAACTACTGAGGCCGCGAGCCACAACTACTGAAGTCCGTGCGCCTAGAGCTCGTGCTCTGAAGAGAAGCCACCGCAGTGAGAAGCCCGCGCACGGCAACGAAGGATAGCCCCCACACACACCACAACTAGAGAAAGCCTGCGTGCAGCAAAGAAGACCCAACGCAGTCAAAACTAAATAAATAAAATAAAATAAATTTATTTTAAAAAATTCACACTTTGAACCACCTCTCGGGTATATTAAATCGGAAGGTCTGGAGGTGGGGCCTAGGAGTCTACGTCCAGGCAGGGTCTTCACGTGACATTGAGAACATTTGGCCAGGGTGATGTTAGGGCCGGGGCTCTGGAACCTCGAGGACCTTTGCCTGAGAGTTCCCGGACAGCTCCTGGAGGAGGTGATATGTGAACGATAAATACGTCTACGACAAGCCATAAGAAAAGTCGGCCGGGTCCTGTTGTTGGTGAAGCGGTGGCAGAGCCGGGCCGGCTCAGGCCCCGCCTACCGATCTGCTCGGTCAGGTGCATTCGCCTTCCGAGGTGTCTTGGCCTGCGGGGCACTCGTAGCTGCCCCCCTTTCCCAGGTGACGCACATTTGAGCGGTCGGAGCTCAGTGACTGGGGTTCGAGTCCCCGCGTCGGCCGTTATGGCGGACGCGGAGCCTGAGGCTGAGGACGGCAGTGAGGATGGCGGCGGCGGCGGCGGCGGCGGCGGCGGCGGCCGGGCTCCCGCAGGCCAGAGAGGCAGCGCCGCGCGCGTGGCCCCGCTGGGCCCCGAGCAGCTGCGGCGGGTCCTGGAGCAGGTGACGAAGGCGCAGCCACCCGCAAAGCCGCCGCCGCCGCCGCCCTTCGTGCTGCAGGACGCGGCGCGGCGGCTGCGGGACGCGGCCCAGCAGGCCGCCCTGCAGCGGGGCCCCGGGGCCGAGCCCCCGCGCCCGCGGCGCCTGCTACCGCCGCAGGTGAGGCGCCGGGAGGGACCTCCGGGGAAACTGAGGCCCGGAGTAGGACGAGGTCTCGCGGCGGGCAGGCCGGAGCCCGCGCTTCCCCTCTTAGGCCTTAGAGGTGCTCAGCCCGAGAGACCGGTGTCCGCCCGCGTTACAATTCAGGGCGTCCCCACACTCAGCTCCATGGGGACCGCAGGCCACCCGCACCTGTCACCGCCCCAGCGTTTTCAACTCCTCCCCCGCTCCGGGCTCTCGGAGCCTGTGCCCATGGCGGCCCCTGCCTGGGACCCAGCCCTGCTCAGGGCTCCTCCGTGCCGCCTGGCTCCTCTCGCAGGCCTTCGTCCGTTCATTCGCCTTGATCACTCACGGTGTTCCGGACCCTGCCCGAGGCGCAGCGTCAACCACAGCCCTGAAGGATGTGAGGCGTGTTGTGGGCCTGACACGGGGGCTGCTGGAGAGTGAGCAGTCCTTAGGCCTGACACCGGAGTGGAGACCAGAATGGGTTAGAAGGACATTAAGAGGAGAATTTTCCATGTGGAAGGTGCTGCAAGTGGCACGGACGAGACTCGGGACAGAATTAAGTACATTACAGTAACTTGGTGCAGGGCTTGTGGCAGTGCCTGTGTTTGTAACCCCAGTTACAAATGGCCCAGCACGTGCCCGACATTCGCTTAATGAATGAGACACGTGAAAGCACTCTGTATACTAGCCAACATCCCTTCTCAGCGGCGCTATTTTCCCGTCACACAGCTCTTGGCTGCTAGGGAAGCTGGATCTAGAACATGGTCTTCCGAGCCCAGAGGGTCCGGTGTAGCACCTGAAGCCTGAGGTCCTTCCCATTACGTGTAAAGGCATCCCCTTTCAGCACTGGGCTTGTAAAGGACAATGCTTCTCACTTCAAAATTGCCATAGATTTTTCTTCCACTAGAATAAATAGGTAGAGAATAGAATCAGCGATCTTCACGGGGTTTCCCTTACGGTTTTGTTTTTTTTTTTTTTTTGCGGTACGCGGGCCTCTCATTGTTGTGGCCTCTACAGTTAGGAACACAGGCTCCGGACGCGCAAGCCTAGCGGCCATGGCTCACGGGCCCAGCCGCTCCGCGGCATGTGGGATCTTCCCGGACCGGGGCACGAGCCCGCGTCCCCTGCATCGGCAGGCGGACTCTCAACCACTGCGCCACCAGGGAAGCCCCGGTTTTGTTTTTGACTGAGTGATTTTGACAGTTTAGGGTCATACCCAGTTGGTCATCAAGACTGGAAAGGTTGTCTCACTAAAGTTTGGGAAGACAAGTATGATTCTGCTCAAATGCCATACTTCTTAGAGGTGTGACCTTGGGTAACGCGACCTCTTTGGGCTTTAGTTTCCTTATTTGTAGGAGGTTTGGCTCCTTGGGTGAGCTTTCCAGCTCGTACTCTGCTGTTGAAACAGATGCCTCTCACATAAGCCCTGCACAGCAGGTCTGTGGAGTCAGAAGGGTGCCAGTGGCTCATTTGCTGGCCTCTGCTCCGTGCCTGGCACTGTGCTGAGCCGCTTGGTTCTCAGCAGCCACACAGAAGTGCTTTTATCAGTGTTTTACAGATGAAGAACTAGCTCAGAGGGGTTGAGTGATTTTTGCCCAGGGTCCCCTAGGTGTGGCTACTCTCCAGGGCCTGTTGAATGTGGCTACAGCTTTTTGGGTTTGGTAGCTTAGGAAAGAGTCCAAAAATGACGTATTCCAGAAAATGAAAGCAAACTTAGGTAGCATGGTCATGTTCGGTAGCTAATCTAGTTGGAATGCTATAAATTCTACTTGCATTCACGACGATGTAATTTTGCAGTCTGTTCAGCTAATATTCTTTGCCCGCCTGCCCCCCCCTCCCACAAGCTGTGCCATGGAGGCCACAAAGACAAATCGGATGTGTACCTTGCCCCTAGGGAGGTTATGATGTTACCAGGCAGGTAAAACATGACTCAGGATAACTTCTGATCAAGGCCAGAAAGCTAGAGGTACGATAAAGAACTAAATGCATTGAGAGAAAGGGAGAGGTTATTTCTGGCTGAGGGGATCAGAAGAGGTGGCATCTGAACTAGATCTGCAGGGTGGGTCCAAGTTGAAAATACAGGAGAGGAGAGGCAGTGCTGGAGGTGGGGCAGGGTGTGCCTTTGGAGATCCCAGGCCTTGTGGTTCTCTATCGGGGGTGGTGTGGATTAGAAGGCACAGACCAAGTGGACACACTCCCACAGGTCAGCCCCTATCCCTCCCATCCTTCCCATTCCTGCCCCACAGAAACATTTCCAGTTTCCTACCACACAACGTGCCCTTTTTCATGCATCCCTGCATTCACACGTTTTTCCTTACACCTAGAATAGGTGTTCCATCTGGGAAAAATTCTACTCAGCTTTCAAGGCCCCCCGCGGAGGTCACCGCTTCTGGGAAGCCTACCAGGCCTGAACTGTTCTGCCCCTCTTACTGCACCTGTTGCACCTTGGTGTTGCTTTCCTATCGGTGTTCCTTAGGAAACCTAGTCTGCTTTCAGAATCATCAGTGGAGCTTTGAAAGTACAGATTTTGAGGCAGGATATCCTGAGTCAGCAAGTTTGTAGGTGACTGAGGTGGGGCAGGGGAAACACCCCCTCCCCAAGGGTGAGGCTGGGACTTAACTTTTGTTTGTGTATTGACACCCAGAGATACTTAGTAAAACTTTGTTGAATGAAATAGACATATAACAAAGTATCAAGTATAGTACCCACTTGGTAAACTGGTCTGGAAAGCAGATGAAAGAATTAGACCAGCTTGGCCACTTGTGGTAATTCTAAAACAATAGGATTTGGCCTGGGGGGGTGGGGGCGTTCTATCTGTCTGTCTTTAATGGCATTATCTGGTAATACCCCAAGAGCTTAGAGACACATTCGAAGTGATTGGTAGTAAAGTGAAACAAATGTGATTCTTAAAAGATGTGCAAGTAAATCTAGCTGTCATTGGATTCACAGTAGCCCAGGACCAGCTCTGTACCCTTCCTCAAAAACCAATATGTTGACTTGTCTCTGCTGTTTGTAGTAAGTGTATAACATGCACTCAGACAGATACACTCCAGCTTGATTTCAGTGAGGATTTCCATTCTGTCCTGTGTGATATTTTTATTGACCCTCTACTTGGTAGAGGGTTGAGTCCAAAGAGGGCCTGTTGGTGACCCCAAATTGGTGGTTCTCAACTGGGGGCAGTTTTGCCCCACGGGGGGCGTTTGGCGCTGTCTGGAGCCATTTTTGATTGTCACAGCTTGGGGAGTGCTACTGGCATCTGGTGGGTAGAGGCTGGGATGGTGCTCAACAGTGCACAGCACACCTGCCACGACACACTTACTGGTCCGAAATGTCAGTTGTGCTGCAGTTGAGAAAGCCGCTCTGGGTGATGAGGTTTGTCTGTCTTTTCTCCCTGGAGAAAGATGCTCATTGTTTCTGCTTGGTGAGGGCAGGAGCCTTGTTTTGCTGCCCTCGTCTGAGCCCATGACAGCATTTAGTCTCCGTAAAGCGCTGTGTCGGGCACCCGGTCACTGCTCAGTATTTGTGGAACCTTGTTGGCAGCAGCCCTCCCCTTTGGTGGGTGTTTTGCTGTTACAGACAGTGCTGCCTTGAACCTCCCAGACATACATCTTTGTGCCTGTGCCGGTGTTTCTTCTGGGATCCAAGAAGCAGGATTGCTGGGGATCAAAAAGCACATGCGGGGCTTCCCTGATGGCGCAGTGGTTGAGAGTCCGCTTGCTGATGCAGGGGACGCGGGTTCGTGCCCCGGTCCTGGAGGATCCCACATGCCGTGGAGCGGCTGGGCCCGTGAGCCGTGGCCGCTGAGCCTGTGCGGCCGGAGCCTGTGCTCTGCAACGGGAGAGGCCGCAGCAGTGAGAGGCCTGCGTATTGCAAAAAAAAAAAAAAAAAAAAGCATATGCATTTAAAACTTCATTAGATGTCAAAAAAAAAAGTTGGTGAAGAAATGCAGCCCCGCTCCTAGGTGTGTGCCCTGGAGGAACTCACACATGTATACACACACATACGTCACAGCACAGAGCAGACCAGAGAGCGCAGGGTTGGTGACCACCTGTCCTCTGACAGGAGAACATTGTTCTCATGCTGCAGAGCAAATGAACGCCTGAGAGCTGCACACCTCAATATGGATGAATTTCACAAACAAGATAGGGAGGAAAAAGCCCCCAACAAGATACCGGAGATGATATTCACTTACCTAAGCTTAAAAACACATCAAAACGGAACTGCATATCTTTAGGGATATCTACAAGTGTAATATAAAGAATGCATGAGAATGGTAAAGAGCAGATTCAGGACAGGGTGAAGAAAAAGGCATGCGGGTTGGGGGCATAGCAGAGGGCTTTCCCCGGGTAGTAATGTTGCATGTTGTAAGGTAGGTGGTAGCAACCTGAATTACATAGTTCTTTATGGCTTTTTTGGTTTCCAGAATTTCACTGAAAACTTTTAAAAAAGAGGCCACATATTGAATTGAGTCCAATTTAGAGTAGTAAGAACTCCAAGTTAATACAAATATGGTAAAACTATAAAGAAGGATATTCATGAGCTTATTAGTGGATCTTGACTGGTATTTTTTTTTTTAAAGTGATGTAGAGTAGATGCTATCAGAAGGCCTTTATGTAGGAATGGTAAGTGCATGAACGTTCTATTTTGTTTATATATGCAAATGTTTCTGTAAGCACGAGGGGTGTGACGTAAAATAGATTACTGTGGACTGGGCAGAAGGGTTGAGAAACACCACTGTAAACACTACAGATACATTATATAGACTCCTTTCTATGTAAGATGTATAAGTTAGAAAAAAATCTCAACAGTGGATTTAAGATGAGAGTAAAATTGTAGAAATGTTGATAAGCATAGTCCTTTTCTCTTTCTGTGTTTAAGCAATTGGAAGCCATCTGTGTCAAGGTTACATCTGGAGAGACGAAAGGTCAGGAAAAGCCGATGCCTGCACTGGCCACCATCCAGCCCAAGACAGCCAGGCCGAGCCAGCCGCTAGGGAGACACTGCAGCGTGCTGGGGCTCAGCGTCGCCAGCTCTCAGCCGCTCAGGGCGCAGCCCCTCCTGAGCACCGGGCCACAGCCGCGTTTCCTGAGTCACTCACCTCAACCTCCTGTTCAGGTGTTCGTCCAGAGGCCACTGCTCGCCCTCCGACCAGACCCTGCAAAGAGAGTCTTGGCCTCTGAGGCCCTGAGTGGACAAGGCACCACGTTGTCCCCTCTGTCAGCCTCTGACCCGCCAGCAGGAACATCTGTTTCATCCAGTCCAGCAAATTTATTTATTTCCAACTCGCAAACAAAATGCACCAAGAAACTAAAAAAATCTTTAAAAGTGAAAACACGTTCTGGACGGATATCTCGACCTCCCAAGTATAAAGCTAAAGATTATAAATTCATAAAAACAGAGGATTTGGCCGGTGGTCACCCCTCAGACTCTGACGACTATTCAGAACTGAGCGTGGAGGAAGATGAAGACCACAGCGGAAGGCAGGTGCTCTTTGATTTATCGAGCTGCTCTCTGAGGCCCAAAACTTTTAAGTGTCAGACCTGTGAAAAGTCATATATAGGAAGGGGGGGGCTTGCCCGGCACTTTAAACTGAATCCAGGCCATGGCCACCTGGAGCCTGAGACGTTGCTGTCTAAGAAAGCCAATGGGAGCATGATCCTGGGCCCCACGGAGGGCAGGACCACCAGCCTGGCATCTCGGGAGCTGTCCACGCCAGCTCTTCTAAGTGAGGAAGGGGCCCGCTCAGCACGGGGTGGCCTGCAGGTAACGTTTCTGTCTGGTGATAGCGTCCTGATTCCTGCCCATCCTTTTTTTTTTTTTTTTTTTTTTAATCTTTTTTTGGCCACGCCACACGGCATGTGGGATCTTAGTTCCTCGACCAGGGATCGAACCCACGCCCTCTGTATTGGCAGCATGGAGCCTTAACCACTGGACCGCCAGGGAAGTCCCCTGCCCATCATCCTTAAATTAACTTTACATTGTCTGCACTGCTGCCAGATAATCGAGGAGAAGTGTGTCTTCCGTCCAGTGCCGACGGTTTACTGATGGGAACGCAGGCATCAGTCCTGTAGATCCGGTCAGTAAAACTAATCGCAAGCACCCTCGGCTCATGCTGACATGACTGTGGGCCTGGGAAAGGTCCAAGTTGGGGGCGCCAGTCCACAGGGCTGCTGCCTGGGGCGTCCGCAGTAAGACGTCTGCTTGCCGTGTTCTCTCCTTGCTTTGCCCCTTCCGAAACTCAATCAGACAAAGCAGATATGAGTCACCATGAGTTTGCATCACCACGTCAACGTTTATTTACTGAAATTTTAACTTACCCAACATGTGTGGTGAGCATTTGTGTGCCATGTACAGTAGGTCAGTTATTTAAAAAACAGCAGGTGGATCACTTTAACAAGTGGCTGGCCTCTGTGGTCGCCCTCATCCCACTTTGTCTTAAGCTTCCTTCCTTTTCCTTTGACTTGTGTTAGCTGTTGTTCGTTATTTGTAGTTTTCAGACGTTAAATAGAGAAACCGGTGTTGGAATTGATGTGACTACTTGATGGGAGTTTGTGACTTTAGGGACCTGGGAGCTGTTGAAAATGCATGTTTGCCTGCTCGTGGCGACCTCATTCCCAGCAGCGGACGGGGTTCCTGCGGGAGGGCTGAGGCCAGCGGCTGCTTCCGCTTTCACATCCGCTCCTTGGGGCCTGAACAGACACCTCCTGGGCCCAGGAGATCTGTACTGAGTGAGGCCTAGTGGTAGAACCATGGGACAGCCCTGTGTTAGGATTCAAAAATATTGTCTCACCTTGCAGCCTCAGTAATAATAGTAATAACAGTAATACCGTTTATTGCACGCCTGCTTTGGGCAGGAACATCACATACGTTTTCTCATCCTGTGAGAGCCCTAAAGGCAGGTGCAGGAGTCTCTACTGGAGACGAGGCGCGTGGGGCTCAGAGGGGATGACGGGCTCCCCGTCGAGGCACGCCTAGGACTCTGTCCAGGCTGGGGTTACACCCAGGTCTTTTGACCTCAAAGCCTGCACTCTAGGCCCGGCTGCCTCTGCTAGGAGGTTCTACGCCTCTCACAGCTGGCAAGAGCCCGACTTTCGAGAGACCTCTAACTTTTCTTAAGTTGTAGTAGGACCAGCATGACCATGTAGTTTGTCACCCAAACCCGGACATTCTGAGAATGAAAGGGGCACTATTAATCATTCCAAGGGACAGCAGGCACAGCCAGGACTGCCTCCGACAAACTGGACGACCAGGCCGGCTGGCACCTTCCATTTCCTTCAATAATGAAATCTTACACCACAGCAAAAGCAGCTTCTGGATATCTGACTTCTGGAATTGAGGCACCTAGCCTTGCTCCAGATGGCTTTGAGGCCGTGGGGTCCCAGAGCGGCTCCCTCCAACCAGAACTATGTCTCGTCTCCTCTCCTGAGTCGGCCGTGGATGGCCACGTGGTGCTTAAAGCCACAGGCAGACCTGGCGTTCCTCCTGAGGCTCCATTTTAATGAAGATTTGGAGGGAAAATTCTTTAAGAGGACACACTTTGTGCTACCTTTCCTTGTATTTAACCTTCCACCAGTCCTGGGAGATGTAGGTGTATTATTCCTATTTTCAGAGGAGGAGGGAATTGGCACAGAATGAGGAAATAGCTAGATAGTGTTAGATCCCGATTCTTTTCACAAAGCTGTGCAAATCCATGGAGACAGAAAGTAGATTAGTGGCTGCTGGGTCTGGGGGGAGGGACGAATGTGTGATAATGTGTAGGGTTTCTTTGGGGGATGATGAAACTGTTCTGGGATTAGATAGTGGTGATGGTTACACAACCTTGTGAATATCCTAAAATCCACCTAATTGTATATTTCCAAAGGATGAACTTGATGGTATTTGAAATATATCCAATAAAAAATAATTTAAAAAATCTAAAAGTCATGGGTAAATTATGAATTAACAAAATTCAGGTCAATTTTTAAGATGGTAGTGACATCAGAAAAGTCTTTTGTTTCATTTTGGGCAACACCCCAGGGTTAGGGTTTGTCAGCCCTGACCTGCAGGGTAGTATTCGTCTGGTGTCTTAAAGGGATACTTGGTTTACCTGTAAGATGCATTGATTATAGTTAATGTGTCTTAATTATGCAAAGAAGAAGAATTTAGCAAGTTCCTTGCTTTTGACTTGACATTTTTCTGCTTTAAGGTTTTCATCATGGTGTATAAAGCATGATTATTTTATTTTTGTTTGGGTGTGCAACCCTATCTAGAATGGTCAGTCCGTAGACGTTGAAGAGGCGCTGGTGCCTGAACCAAAAAATGGAAGTTTTTCAGCCCTTTTGGGATCAGAGAGACACCCCGGACGTAGAAGAAGCGGCTACTCCGTGGCCCTCCCAGAGCCCAGCGCAGCCGTCCTGGAGCAGAGTGGAGCGGTTGGCCCGCAGGTGGGCGTTGGGGCAGCGTGTGTACAGGGCCCGGCAAGGAGCAGAGCCAGGCTCCTGGAGGTGCGTCGCTCTTAGAACCCTGTTCTTGAAACCTGTGTCTCTGGCATGGTACGTGGCAGTTCACTATTAGGTTTCTGGATTTAGAAGTAAAATACCCAGTTTAGGTCACCTGATGTGTAATTAGATGAAGTGTGTAATAAATTCAAAGACAGCATTATCTGAAATGACTCCTAGGTGTACCTGTTTGAAATGACCAGAGGGCCTTAAACATAGAGCTGCTTGCCTTTTTCAGTTTTAGAATTATTATAAGCTGTGTTTTCATGGAAGCAGTTTAGAAAACAACAGAAATGGTTTTCTTTTTTTTTGTAAAAAGTTTCAAGGTATAAAAGCATGTTTCAGGTTTTGAACTCTAGAATCTCCATTCCACCCCCTTGAAAGTAAGTTTATCGAATTTAGTTGGATTGGCTTAGAAAAGCGGAAACCCAAACTTACCCGAATTGTCTTTGACTAGGATGTATTTATTTGCCTGCTAATGGCTGGATGAGTATCTTAAAGAAAAGAAGTGAAAAACAGCAAGAGAGAGCACGAGATAAGTTAGTGAGACAACTGGCCCCAGAAAGAGTGGTTTGCTGTCAGCAGCCCCGCCTCCCAGCCCCGACCACGGGCTTCCCGCAGGCACCGCAGCGGCACAGCTGCTGTGCCTCGTTTCACTGAGTCCCTGACCATAGTAGCTCCACTTAGGTGAGAAACCTGAACCTCACAGGGGCTGTTAACTTGTACCCGGTCACCCCGCAGGTCGGTGGCGGATCCAGAATTTGGATCTGAGACCAGTGAGGTGACCCTAACACGTCACCTTGACTCGCAGTGCCACACCTTTCATACTGAGAGTCGAGGACTGCTCCGAACAGCACCGCTCTTGATCTTACAGATGGGAGTCTCCCCAGAAACGGGCATTCATTTATACAGGAACTGGGTGTCCGTCCAGTAACGGGCCCTGTCCTGGCTGGGCGGGGACGCTGTGCAAGGGGAGAGGTGGCGGCCAGAGCAGTCAGTGGCAGCACGGCCAGGTGCGCGTGGCTGGGAAGCGGGGAACTGAGGAGGTGCCCTCTCTGCTGCTGTGATGCGCGTCCTGGACGTCCGGACGTGGGCCAGGCCGCAGAGGGGCCATGCCCCACACACCCACCTTCTCACGCCTCCTGAGTGCTGGAAACCAGCTGGTCGTTTTGCTCTAAGGGCTCTTGAAAGTCACGATTAGACATTTTTATCTTGCAAATGAAAAGGTTTTCCTTTTGCTTTTTGACTGTTTTATGACCATCTGTGGCTTCCTCGGAACCCCTGCCAGTTTGCAGCTCCCAATTGATGGCCCTTCCTAAGCCCTGAGCCCGTGACCTCCCTGAGCCTTGTATGACTGTTTCTAGGACTTGTCGGTTTCGCCCTGACATTCTTGCCTCCCTGGGTGATCTCACTCATCCTCCTGCTTTCTCAAACTACCTTCCGTCTGCTGACTCTCACGCCTGTACTTCTGTCCAGACCGCTCCGGAGCTTCAGAGCTGATTTCAGGCATCCCCACCTGCTGTCCTGTAGAGCCCTCCACATCCTGCCGGAGCCCACAGTCTGGCTTCCTGCCCCACCCCCTATTATCAGGGGTCTGCCTGGGTGCTCAGCTGGGTGCCCAGAGGCACCCATGGCTCCTCTTTTCCCCCTTCACTCACCCCTCCCCCATCCTGAGGACTGAGGATGGTGCCCTCCCTGCATCCTCTCCCCCCCTCCCCCCCCCCTCGTCTGTCCTGCCTGTACGTGTGCTTTGGTGGTGGTCTCCTGGCGGCGGGCTGCCCCGGGATTTGCTTGCATTTTCGTCTCGGGCACTAGTTGGTGAGCCCTGGAGAGCAGGAAGCACATTTCCCCACCGCTGTGTCCTTCTCCAGGGCCTGGCGCCCACCGCTCGTTCAGTGCTGTCGCACGGGAGCCAGACTCTGAACCCACCGTTGACCACGGGGCTTTGTCAGCGGGTGAGCAAGTGCGATACTTAACAAGGCAGAACGTTTACAGTTGAGAGGCGCGTAATCACTGAGAATTTAGGGAACTTTCTGCCTTCTGTGTTCTTTGCTACAACAACTCGTTGGCTGCTGGGAAATTCTTTCCATACTGTCAAAGATGTCAAACGCTTTCTTCTGGTAGTTTCTCCACCAGTGTGACCGGGAGGATCTAGTGGAGTTGGCTCTGCCTCTGCTGGCTCAGGTCGTGACCGTGTCTGAATTTCTTCTGATGAAGGTGAGTCTCCTTAGTGTTTCTAAGTGATTGAGGGGATGATTTGAAGTTATTTAGAAAGGTGTCCTTCATATTTACTTAGAAGGAGCCAGGCCCGTGGAAATCCTCTCCCTCCCCCAGGACAGAGCTAAAGTGAGCCTGCCGGTCCTGCCCGGATGCCCAGCACACGGCTCTCAGGCAGGCCGCTCGTGGACCCGTGACTGTTTTCACTTTGTGGGGAGGAGCGACAGTCACCTTTCTCCTGGCTCCCACCCACCTGCCAGCCTCCTCCACTGCAGCTCTGCCCCCGATGAGCCCGCTCTGAGATGCGGCCTCACCGCCGGCACCCACGCTCCCTGGAGGCGCCCCAAGGAGCAGAGGCCTGGCCCTCCCTGGCCTGCAGGCCCTGGAATGTGCCCGTTTTCGTCCTCAGGGCCTTTCTGCCTTCCCATACCGCTCCCCTGGCCACCATCCTCTTGTGGCCCTCATCTGGGGTGGTTTGTTTCCTGGGCTGCTTCTCCCAGGCCCATTCTGGTGCCCCGCCGAGCACAATGCTGGGCACACATAGGCTCTCGCTGGGGAGCGAAGGCAGTGCCTGTGTTCATGGCTGCTGAGGGCTGAGGAACTTGAGTCCTTCCCTCTTTCAGATTTCTCTCTGTATTTTCCATTTCATTGCCTTGGGTTTAAACATTTTTTTTGTCATCTTTATCTTCACTAAGGTTGAAAAAGGTCATCTAGCAAAACCTTTCTTCCCAGCTGTGTACAAGGAATTTGAAGAGTTGCATAAAATGGTTAAGAAAATGTGTCAAGATTACCTCCATAGCTCTGGTCCCTGTTCTCTGGAAATAAACAACAGTAAGGTAACAAGCTCACAAGAGAGACTCGCTCTTATAGCCAAAAGAAGGCTGTCCATTAAAAAGGAGGATATTTATTTTTGTAGTGACATCTTCCCAGTCAGCTTCTTCTAGCTTTTTCTACTGTCAAGTGCAGGGTTTTTTTCTTAATATAAAAGCGATACATGCTTTTTTCAGAAAATTCGGAAATGCAGATAAATGCAAACACCCATAATCCTCCCACTCACCAATGATCACAGTGAATAGACTGTGTCTTTCTTCAGTGTGTAGGTGTTTGCAAAGGGCTGAGTTACACAGGGACCAGTAGTTATTTTTTGCGGTTGTGTCGACAGAATTCTCATTTCAGTGTCATTGCCTTTAGCTATATTGGGTCCTTGACAAAATATGTCATGAACTGATGAGGATTTACTTGTCTCGGATCAAACCCTTTTCTGGGCAGAGTGTGGCCCGTGGTCAGGTCACCCAGGGGCCTCTCACTGTGTCCAGCACGGAGACTCAGGTCTGCGCCTCCACCGAGCAGCTCACTGACTCCCGGCAAGTCCCTGCACCCTCCACCCCTCTGCCAAAGGGCAGCACTGAGCTCACGGGCTTTTCCGGCTCTCACGTGCCGGGGCTGTAATAGTCTGGTTTCGCCAGACTGTTGAACAACACGGATGGGCTTGGAGGGCATTATGCTGAGGGAGGTAAGTCAGAGGAAGACAAATGCGGTATAGCATCAATTATATGCGGGATCTAAGAAATACAACCAGCTAGTGAATACAGGTACGTAAGTAAGTAGGTCAGAAGGTAAATAAGTGGTGTCAGGTTTACTAAAAGGTCACTCACACAACGATGAAGACTGCTTAGGCCATGGTGACTTCGACTGCTCCTAACGTGATCACACTGACGATGGAGCTGCCTGTCTGTGATTGGAAAGGTGAGTGTTTTCTCAGTACAGAGCAGTTAGTTGCTTCTGTAGCAAGAAGTCTTAATCTACAGTGTAATATAATACATGGGTTTTTTGGGTTTTGTTTTTTGGGGTTTTTTTGGCCATGATCATTAGTTTTATACAAATTCAATATTTAATATAACCTAATAAACTCTTGTGTTTTATTTTCTTAAATCATATATTTTTAAAATGCAATGGATTCTTTGCTAGGCCTCCCATAGATGCCCCAGTTGGCAGTGGTCACCTACCTGTTCATAAACTGTGGGTTAAGCCGGTGTGGGTACCATCCTGTTACGGAGCAGACAGGACGTGCACGAACGCTGTGCATGCTCACTGGGACCCTTTGTGGGCAGTTCGGGATGTGACGCAGCCTCTTTGGAGCGAACACAGTGGCTCTGTTGGTAGGGGACACTGTCAGGTTGTTGGGCACTAAGCTTGCCGACCCCTGTTCTCTAGCTTAACCTTGACCTGCTACCCTTCCTTCCTTCCCCACCCCTTGCCTGCTCTGTGGTGTTCTCTTTATGCTGTCCAGGTATCAGTGATGATGGCTGTTGGTTATTACCTTAACATCCAGTGCTTTACGTAGGTTTTGCATAGGGAGTCTAACCTAATCTTTACAAAGTCCCTTCAGGGCAACTGTGGTCTCCCTCATAAGATAAGGAGACTTAGCAGGTAGGTGGCTGCCAAGGTCACCCAGGTTCTGAGCAGAGGTGCTGGGGTCCAGCTCTGGCTCTCAAACCCACATCTTTTCCATCAACTGGGAAAGGAGATCTGGTCCCAGAATAGGCAGGATTATCTTTCTGAAGATACCAGTGAGAATTCAGAAAAGGAGGAATAATGGGCAAGAAAGTTACCATGGTGTCAGACTAACATGATGAAGCTTGTGACGACAATTTATCTTCATTTTCCCCACTGTTTAGGTGGCACCTTGCTGTACAAAGGGACTTCATAGATTTAAACTCAGCCCTTTGTTCTTAAGTGTTGACATGATTCCGAATCTTGTGTTTTGAGTGGAGCGTCTCTGTGGGCCCCTTTCTGCTCAGGTTGCCGAGTCCTTAGGAATCACAGAAGAATTCCTGAGGAAAAAAGAAATACACACGGACTACACTCCTCCCAAGTGCAACAGCCGAGAGGACGACCCGGAGGACCTGGAGGGTGCTGGCCCGCAGAAGAGGGAGAATGAGGTGGGCGTGGCCGTGAGGGGCGCCCGGCTACTGTCTGCTCCACATTGCACTATTGGGGTTGGATCTCTTCAACTCACAACACTGTTTTCCAGGAAGAAAAGGTGCAAGGTGGCCTGTTTCTCCCTAGTCTTAGCTGGTTGCATCTTCTCTTCCTAGACCGCAGAGGACAGGCTGGCTTCGGTGAAAAGGACCAGAAGAGAAACTGTGCCCCAGGACACCACAGAGTATTCTGCCGACAGTGGAGGCCGGCAGAGGCTGGCCTCTTGTGCCCCAGCTGCCAGTGCGGGTAAAAGACTCTTTGCGGGGTGCACCCTGGGGCTCAGAGGCCTGCTGCTCGGGTGGGTGCCCCTATGGCCACATCTCAGAGAACCCTCTGGTTTCTCAAGAGTTTTACCCCAACCTCCCAGTGTTCTGTGGTTCCATGTTTATTCCCCATGAGTCTTGGGGTCTTTGGGGTTTTCTTGGGTCCTTTCTTGAAACGAAGACCTGCCTCGTGGTACTGAGTCGGTTGTACCTGGCGGGGGTCCCAAGAAGTTAGGCAGACCTGAGACCAGGGACAGGTCCCAAGGACACACCAAGTCCACGGCTTGGCTTTCGTGAGACTTGGCTCTAAGTGCCAGCTGAGGGTTAACGTTCGAAAATGGGACGTGTTCCGGCTTTATTTCGCCAGAACTGATCAATGAGACAGCCCTGACGTACGGCAGGCATGCTGAGAATGGTTATATAACTTTTTAAAATCTTATCAGGGCCGCCTGATACCTCGCCTGATCCTAAAGTCTCTAATTTAAAGAGGCATTCTCCCTTCTAGAACTTATTACTTAATTCTTCCGGAGGGGAGGGCAGATTTATTCATTGAGAACCATGAAAACCCTCTGGCACCTGCTTGGAACACAGCTCCTCTCCCCTAACTAGTCTGCGTTTCCTCTTTTAATTTCATCCATTCTTGGAAGCTACCAAGCAACAAGGAGGGTTTATGTTTTCATCTTTGGGCAGGAAAATGACTTTGGACTAGCTGGTTTTGCGCAGTGAATACAGTGACCGGCCATAGCAGTACACACATGATTGTCTGTTTCTCCCAACTGTTTAGGTTTTGCCGCTGGAGTAAATGGGGGCGCGTCTCACCTACCTGAAGAAAGTCCCACGATGCCCGTTTCTGAGCTCGACGGCAGCACAGCACAGGCGGGCCAGCAGCTGAAAGCATTTGCTGGCTCAGCCGCCGGGAGTGGGTCTGCAGACCCTGCTCTCTTGTTTCGAGAAGCCCGTGGGCTGGGGGTTTATACTCAGTTAGGAGAACCAGGGTCTCTGGCCCAGGAACACTCGCCAGAACAGGATGCTGGGGACGGCCAGGGAAGCCGGGCTCTCTGCGGCACCTCGATGGCCCTGCTGCCTGGCCGGCCTGGAAATGCAGAGGCGGGAAGCCTTCGCGAGGTGCGCGGCTCCCACCTGAGCAGCCCGCAGTCCGGCCCCAGCGAGGTCCTGCTTCTGGAGGCCGCGGCCCCGCCGCAGGAGAAAGCATGGTCCGTGGACGTCATGCCAGCCGGCTATGCCTACGGCACCACGTCCGAGCCGGGGCCTCAACCCAGCCGGGGTGGATTTCTGGGTCCTGAAGGGGGCCTCACAGGCCACGCGGGGGACTTGGACCAGTCGCCCTGTGGGACCGAGACACACGCTGACCGGAGGGAGCTGGAGGGCATCACTGCTGTCAGGGAAGCCCTGGCTTTCGAAACTGCCAGTGGGGGCCCCACGTTGCCGCCCCAGCGACAGGAGCAGGTATTTATCCCGACTCCTGATGGTGCGTCTCGTCCCACCCAGGCTCCGTAGTGTCTGGGGAGGGGGACGTTGTCATAGTGACCGACACAGAGGGGCCTGCCCTGCAGCCGGGCCCCTCGGAAGGGGGTCCTCTGGAAACCATGGAGACGGAGCCCTCTCAGTGAAATGGAGCCAGAACCGCAGTCCTAGATTTGTATGTATTTTACCTGGACGTCTACTTCAAGGAATGTTTATTTTTCTAATGTGAGTACTGATACAAGTGAACATTTTATTTATAAAGAATAATGTCTTTCTACCCCACTGTCTACCTTTTCCTACACCTTCCTCATTGTAATAATGGCAGATACGTTACCTGATAACAAATTCCCGATACATCTAACTCCTAGGAGCTTTTGATCACTATTGCAGTTAATACCACTACACTGTTTCTTGAATCTCCCCTGCTCCCCAGTTCCAAAAAACTACGCCCCCTTTCTCTTCGGTGATATGCTGCTCTTTCACCAGACTTGGTCCATACTAGAAGCTTCTTTTGGGCTCAATAAAAAAATAAATACGTAAGCTTGCCATCTGGGCAGCATTTTATTGGGAAGTAGGAAAGAAAGTTGTTTCTACTGACACTTTATGGATGAGGAAAGTGAGGCATAGGGATGGGACCCCCAGTCCTTTGATGTCCCACGTGTAAAGTCACTTATCAAGATCTCTCTTTTTTTGGAATGTTTTCCTTGGCTCTATTACAGGGAGAGAAAGGGAGGGCCATTTGCCCACACGCAGACGACAGCATCAAGAGGGCACAGCTGTCCTCTGCCCCCACTGGCAGAGACTGTCAGCAGAGGCCCTGGGCAAGCGGAGCTGTGGGTTGTGGGCTGCACCCCCTGGTGCTGTGCTCCCGTCAGGCCCGCTGTGGAGGGGCGGGCTTTATTCTTCGGGGGCCACATTGCCTACAGCCCTCTCAAGTGACTGGGGGCGTCTTCCTGTCCTCTAACTTGATATCAAAGCGGGTCCAACAGGAACGGAAGGGTGGGCATCCCTGCAGGATGGAATGAGTAAACCACAGCTGCTCAGGAGAGTCGGGCTCGAGGGTCAGGCCGCGGCACTGATGCCGAGAGCTCAGCTTCTCTGCACACTGGTGCCCAATCGAATCTCAGAGACAGAGTTTTGGGTGAAGTAGAAAAGGACAGCTTTATTACTCTGCCAGACAGAGGGGGACACAGTGGGCTCCTGCCTTGGAAAAACTATGTGTCCCAGCCCGGGAGGATCTGATAAGGAGCTTTATAACAATACCTCCCAAGGGCGGGGTTGCTGACAAGATGAGTGGCCGCGGTCTCAGGCGCGGGCCTCCTAGCCTTGATGAGCTTCTCGAGGCCTTGCTGAGCTTCTCGGGTCCCTGTGATCTCGCCTCCTAGCCTTGGCCGCTCCTCCCTTGATTAGCAGCTGTTCGAACCTGCCCTTTGGCACTCAGGGGAGGTCATGGAGGCTGGAGTCTTGCCTACAAGAAACGGGGGACAAGAAGGCCTCCATGCCCGGAAGCCCCACAGGGCCCCGCTTGGTTTCAGCACATCCTGTGGACTCGGGCACTTCTCGGGAACCCAGAGCCGCGCGAAACCACTGGGGGTCCAGTCCTGGGGGGCTGGGGCGTGGGGGTTAGGACTTCAACACACGAACCTGGGGGGACATATCCAGAGCATGGCACCTCTCAAGTAAAAATGTGAGCCGGTGGGCATTCAGGGAGTTGAGTGGCTCTGCTCCAGAGGTGGTCCAGACCGAGGTCGCTTCCGCACCTAGGGTGGCCCTCTTCCCAGAGGTCTCAGAAGGCTCGCTGCCCCGTGTGTCTGCTCCATCCCTCGGAGAGAGGAGCCTGTGAGGGTCACGATCTGGGAGATGCACACAAGGCCTCTGCTCACATCTCATTGGTCCTTGGCCACACCTTGCTGCAAAAAAGGCTCTGAAACCTCCTCCTAAACTGGTAGCCATAGCCAGGTAACACTTAAATGAAGCAGAGAATCAACACCAAAGGAGGACCAGCCAAACGCCTCCCCCTAGAGTGGTTAAAATTGCTTCAGGTCAGTCTGGAGAGGTGGTAGTAGCAGCTCTGATAAACCTCAGCAGCTCGAAACAACAAAGGGGTGTGTGTCTCCTGCTCACAAGTCATGTCACTCAGAGGTCGGTGGGGGACCCAGCAGGGGCAGCCACATCTCAAGCACTGCTGGTGGCGCCACCAGAGGGAGAGAGCTTTGGGAGAGGTTAGACCCACCACGAGAGGCACTTCAGTGGCCACATGGTCCCACCCAAGCCCAAGGGCACTGAAGTGCAGGCTTTCCATGGGCCGGGAAGGCAGGAGTCTGGGAATATTTGGTGAATAGCGTGAGTGGCTGATCAACAGAAGTCACATTATCACTGTTCACAGCTGTGCTGTGTTCAGTACCTTGTGATTACTTTCGTGGTTTGTCTAAGCTTTTGTGTTTCCTGGAAAGAGAGAGAGAGGGAATTTGTTTTTTAGTTTTCATTAAATGTACTTATCGTGAATTCATCTTGAACTGCTTCCCCAACCCAGTTCTGTTTTTGTGGATTCTACCTGTTAATATTTCTTTACTGTCTATTTCGCAAGATTCCCAGAGGCAGAGGAGATATCTGGTGATCAATCCACTATGCTTAGAAGTCCAATATGGGTTCTCCAATGGCTTCATTGTTCCTTTCAGATAGAAATTGTCCTATAGTTGTGTAATGACTCTGGAACTCAGCAAACTCAACAGCCGAGAGCTCTTCCATCAATCTGATGCCTCTTCCGCTGTGTGAGGGACCCCTGGGCTAATGCCACTGGACACCTGGCTCATTCACTTGTTTGTCCTTTGCAGTGAAACGGAGCAGGACCCTGTGGGACTCCTGGGCACAAGTCCTTCCATGTCACCCATTTCTTGTTTGTAGGAGATTGGTTTCACTCAGCTTCCATGGCCTTCCCTGAGTTCCAAAGGGCAGGTTCAAACAGCCGCTAATCAGGGAACGGAGGGGATGCAGAGACAAGAGGAGTAGTCAAGAAACAATAGTGCAGCCTTAGGGCAGGGTCCTGGTTCCTCCTCAAGGGATACACAGAACAATACCTTTGAGCTCTTCTGCAGAACTAAAACCCCCAACAAATAGAAGACGCTGACTACCTGATGAAGCACTCTTTACTCCAGAGAGGCCACAGTTCGATGATGCCAGATATTTGGACTGAAGGAACGAGGGCCCTGCACACACTCTATCCTTATCAGCAACCCCACCCCAGGTTGGGACACACAGTTTTGAGGGCATTCGCCCGCTGTGGCCCCCTTTGCCTGGCAAAGCAATAAAGCTATTCTTTTCTTCTTCACCCCAAACTCTGTCTCCGAGATTCAATTCAGTGCTACTGCACAGAGGTGGGGTTTTGGCACCAGCAGCATTGATCGTTTCCATTAGTTCTTCTGGGCAACCTGGGTGTCCGAGGACGAGGCATCACGAACACAGGAAATGTCCTAGAAAGGGCTAGAAATTCTTCAGGGTCTCCTCTGAAGAGCATTTGTTCTTTAAGTAACCACACCCCACCCCAAACACAAAACTGACCTCGTGCCTCGGAGGGCCCCGTCCTGCCTGTCTGGCTCAGGACTGCAGCCTGCTGTCTAAGCCGCAGGAAGCAGGGGGCAGGGTGCCACTTTTGCCGAATGCTGACCAGGCGGTTTCCAGACTGCAGGACATCTGACAGGATGCTTTTCTGATGGTTAGATTTTAATAAATACTGCAAAGGAAAGAGAAATTCTAAGACATGTTGCCTTTAAATGCTTTGGCTCTGCCAACTTACGCAGTGAGATATCCTTTCGCTCAAAATACATTCCCATGATATATAAAGTCTTTTATTTTGGGAATATTTTCTTTCTTTGCCTGGGATGCTAGAAGTTCAGTTTCATGAGGCTACATCCTGTATCACACAGCACGAAGTTTCTTAGATTTCTGTTTCTGGGGAGCAATGGCAGGACTGACCCCGGATATCTGGTTGTAAATATTGCCAAACTATAGGATTTATGCCCGGAGAATGACATGGAAGACACTTCACTTGGCCTGTCACAGCCTCAGTACAAAAATAGGGGTAATTTTTTGGTAGCCAGTTTTCATTTCCATGATGCTGGTCTTTGCTCAGTGACTCTATGGTACTTTAAAGATTAGTTGTGATTACAAAACTAATACGGTCCCACAGTTTAAACAATACGCAAAAATATTAAACCAGGGATTTTCTAAATAAATGTAATCTATGTAAAATACACCTAATTTACAAAAACAAGATCACTTAGTCATTCTGTTGAGGAACTCATTTATTTCGGGCAGAAGTCTTCATAGTGACACATTCACAGTAGGTGCAGATGACGCTGAGTGGTGGACGGCAGGCAGCAGCGATAACCGCAGAGAGCTGGTGAAATGATCAGGTCTGGAAGATCCTAAGGTCAGTGGGTGGCTGAGCCAGAGCACAGGTGAGATCCCAGGTTGCGACAGGGGCCGTGACCCCGGCGTAAGGCAGGGGCCGTGATTGGGGTGAGGCAGGGGCCATGATCCTGGGGTGCGGCAGGGGCGTGATCCCGGGGTGCGGCAGGGGCTGTGACCCTGGCGTAAGGCAGGGGCCGTGACCCCGGGGTGAGGCAGGGGCCGTGATCCCGGGGTGTGGCAGGGGCGTGATCGGGGTGTGGCACAGGGCCCACCCGAAAGACCGTCCGCCGTGGGAGCTGCAGAAGCTGAGGTCCAGAGCCCGGAGGAGCGCAGAGCCACGCTGGGAGGTCACAGCGCTCGGTGCCCGGTTTCAAGCAGCATGCTTTCCAGAAGCAGCCTGCTGTCGCCCTCCACGTAGGGCTGGTGCAGCCACATGGACAGGTAGCTCAGGGCCAGGTCACGGTCGGCCGTGTGCGCCAGCTGCTCCACGACGGTGCGCTTCAGGTGGAGCTCCCGGCCGTACATGTCGGAGAGCTTGCGGGAGACCTCGTCTGAAAGGAACGCGAGCCATCCTTGAACAGTGGCATTCAAGGGGGTACCCTTGACTAGGGACGACCCGCCACTTTTTTTTTTTTGGCCACGCTGCGCAGCTTGCAGGACCTTAATTCCCAGACCAGGGATGGAACCCGCACCCTCTGAAGTGAAAGCACTGAGTCTTAACCACTGGACAGCCAGGGACTTTGCAAAGCTCCTCCTTAAAAGCTAGAGTCAGCGACAGCACAAGAGGAAGAAGGGCTCCAGCCAGTGCAGATTAGAATCAGATAACAGGGTAAATAAGTGTCATGAAATTAAAAAGTACCTGTTACCTTTCCACTCGACTCTTAGGAACTGGCAATCACTACACATAGCAGATTGACCTCGAACTGACAATCTTCAATAAACACATTACGTGAGGTGATTTTCTCCCTTATTTAAGTCTCAAAGCAACATCAAATAGCTTAGTCCTTCTTTTAAACCAATAAAGCAAAAAAAACAGCCCTTACCTCACAGCTTATTTATGTAATGGAGTTTGTTTTCCCAGCGGTCCTCTTCCATGGGGCGGGCTGAAGTGACCCCCACCCCCCCGCCATGTACTTTTTAAATAAAACAAAACAAAAAGCAAAAACCCATCCTTCTTGAAAAACAAAAACGAGATTTCTGCCTCTACAGAGGAGGCAAAGTGCATTCTACCCGTTGGCCTTAAAGGGCTAACAATGGCAACTTGCTTCATGGGTCTCTAATTACATTTAATATTCTTTGCTTATTAGTAGGTAATTAAAGGCAAGAAGAAACCCTCCTCTAAGATGTCCTCATCTCCTTCCTTCCCAATGGATCCTCTTCAATTGAATTTCAAAGGCTGTCAGCTTCTTAGAGGGCCAGATCTAAATGACACCAAATGCTCTCATAACCTACCCTTGAAAATCAACGCAGGAAGAACTACTTACAAAAATAGGCTGTGGGCCACGTGTGGAACAGGGGGGGCCGTTTTCTCTCCTCCCCGTAATGGTAATCTTCTAGCTCACAAATCCCCTTGGTAGTGGAAGACAGCTTTTCCATTTTCATCTGTATTTTGGTCTGAAAAGATATTAATTTAGAATATGAGATTGTTATTTGAAATCCTGTCTTAGATTCAATAACTCTAAGATTTCAAAGCTAAGAAATGTAAGTCTGTTGAGATCGTAAGTCCAGTGATCCAACACCATTAACTCCATGTGCAGCAAATTTCCAGGGAGAAGGAGACTGACAGTTGCTACGATTTCACTAATTTGGATTACTTCAGTAATAAAGCCCACATATCCAGTGCTGGAGAAGAGGAAGCTTGCTGGGTCCCGCTTCATTAAGATTTCCAAACATCACTAATCTTTAGCACCACAGACCTGGAGGGGTGGCAAGGCAGGCTCTCGCTTTTATGGAATGAGAGGAGAAGAGGCATTAAATGAGCTCATTTCTGACTCTTTTTTTAAAAATTAATTAATCTTTGGCTGCGTTGGGTCTTGGTTGCTGCGCGCGGGGGCTACTCTTCATTGCCGTGCGCAGACTGCTCACTGCAGTGGCTTCTCTTGTTGTGTAGCATAGAATCTAGGTGCACCGGCTCTGTAGTTGTGGTTCGCGGGCTCTAGAGCGCAGGCTCAGTAGTTGTGGCGCACGGGCTTAGTTGCTCCGCGGCATGTGGGATCTTCCTGGACACCAGGGATCAAACCCATGTCCCCTGCCTTGGCAGGCGGATTCTTAACCACTGCACCAACCAGGGAAGTCCCTCATTTCTGACTCTTATGAACTGCCTTTGAGTTTAATGCCAAAAGCTCGGCCTCTGTGCACCAGTGTCGAGTCAAATCTTGGAGACAGAGTTTTGGGTGAAGCAGAAAAGAATAGCTTTATTGCTTTGCCAGGCAAAGGGGGACACAGCGGGCTCCTGCCCTGAAAAACTATGTGTCCCCAACCCGGGAGGATCTGAGAGGGGTTTTATAGCAACAGTTCAAGGGTGGGGTTGCTGATAAGATTCGAGTGTGTGTGGGGCCTGCACTCCTTTAATCTGGTCTCACCGATGGTCCTCTCCTAATCTTTTTTTTTTTTTTTTTTTTTTTTT